AGTAATGTGTGTGTGTGTGTATATTTTCTTTCCTCTGTCTAGTCATCGTGATCCAGCTCAGTCCTGCTCCAGCCCCTTCCCAGCGTGCAGGTATCATTCAATCCATCGCTCTCTCTGCCACTGCACATCTCTTCTCACCCCCAACACCTGTGTCCCCCATTTCACCTCCCACCCCCTCCCACCTCATCTTTATCTTTCTTATGTATTAAACCTATCAGACAGGCAGTTCCCTACTTTCTAACGAGTTACGTTTCCTTTGTTTTGCCTCTGCCAGTATAGCCTCAATATTACTACTTCACCTACTCACGTTTGTCTTTTTAACACTTTTTATGCACGTTTCTTAAATCCAGTTAAATTTAAAGTCTAGAAAGGACAGACTGTGGGAAAAGATTTGTTATTTACTGTTACATTTACTCCCTCCGGCAAATATAGGGGCAGATATTATGTGTTTCAGCCGGACTGACTAGATTTAAGCAACATATGGATTAATCACAACTTTAAACATGCCAGCATACAAACTATAAATAATTTCCTCCCTGCACACATCATTTCTTACTCTATATCTCACACCAGTGCCTGTTAAGTTCAAACAGCTGAATAAGAATCTCTTCTGAGGGGCAAAAGTTGAATCCATGTAATCCAGTTCTGATATTTTAGCCCAGCAGTTATTTACACCTCCCCTCAAATGACATCCTCTCTCCATCTTTCCACCCCTACTCCTCTCTCTGTCTGTTGTGTGTCAGTGCCAGTGGCAGGGCAGTGTTGGTGTGTGCTGATGTTCACAGTGTATGAATGTGTATGTGTGTGTGTTGACGTGTGTCAGGTGATTAACCTTGGTTTTGCTGGAGGCAGAGAATCACGGTGCATGTGGCTTTTTCTGCACGACACAATGTTTTTGGGTTGTGTTTTGTTTGACACAGTCTCTAATCCAGCATCCCCACTGGTCCGTCTGAAGGAGTGCTGTGAACACTCTGGCTTCTCTTTCTCTCTCTGTTTTCTTTGTGTGGCGATTGAAGACTTGCCTTCCTGTCTGAGTCCGACTGACTGACTGTCTGACTTCCAGCTTAGTCTGTGCTATGCAGTTTTGGCCGAATTTCTCTCTCTCTCTCTCTCTCTCTCTCTCTCACATCGGACTGTTTGATGTTGTTTGCTGTTATTCATCGTTTGGCATCCCCTCCCTCCTCCTCCTCCTTCCTTTTGCAGCAGCACTGTGTGAGCAGGAGGCGGTGCAGCAGTGCCTGCGATTATCTGTGCGTCTCCCCCTCTCCTCGCTCTTTCTGCCCATCTATCCTCTCATCCGTCCATCTGGAGCCAGCCGAACTATGGAGATGCAATCCATGCCAAAGACTGCCTGAGTTTTCCTTCCTCTCCATACTAACCCCTCCTCCCCTACACTAACTTATTCTCCCCTTACAGGCCGATCCCTCCACAGGTGACTCATGAATACAAACACCTGCTGGCGCTCTCAGAAGAGCTGCCAGCCTGCTACTACAAAAAGATTGAAAGTGAAAATAACAGCTGCACGGTCCTCGAAATGTTTTGCAAACTGGTGTTTGAACGCTTTGAAAAATGTCGCTGATGAGAAATTGATAATAAGTCTGAAGCCAAACTTAGTGTTCAGAATTGGCGAAGTCGTCATAGCTGCTGACTTTCTGTCTGAGTATTTCATTGCATGTCTGTGGGGCTGTCAATGCTAATACTACTTTAGATTGTTCTCCTGAAATTAGTCTGTGTTTGCCTGCATATACTCTCGATATTACAAGGTCAGCGTTCTCTTAAAACGTCCTTAAATGCATGATTTACACCTATGTTTATATACGGGGCTAGAAGCATGTTGCATCTTCTGTTTGGATTTTGGATTTCAGTGCCGGTCAGTTGTGAACTGAATTTAGGCAGCGTGGCTTTGAGATCTGAGAACATGTTTACATCGATAAAAAGATGTCCAATGGGGCAACAAATAGAAGTAGTTAAATAATTATACAGGTAGTAACATGTGCCCAGGGTAGAAGAATCATTATGTGCTGGTCGAGATAATCGATGCTTCGACATATGACTCGCCGGGATTATTTATTCATCTAGCTAGGCTTCGATGCGTTCCCTCAACCTTCCATCACACGTTGTTAAAACTTAAATGCATTGATATTATACTACTCGTTATTTGTCTTTTTATATAATTCCTTCACCCTCATTCAGAGGCATAACGAAGCATGTGTTGACACTTATATATCGAGCCATTTAGGATCTATCTTCTGGTAATATTGTTCACTGCCTCACCGGTTGTTCTCATTTGTGAGAAACTGCATAGATTTGCTCCTGGTGAAGTCTAGCGGATGTGGAACCTTTGAGTAGTCTGAAGAAAACATTTTTCGTCTTTACCAGTAGTTCGGGAATATAATAGAGGAAAGCCGCCAATGTTGTTAGGGTGCAACATAAATAAGAGAGTAGGTTTATATATATATTATTACAAGGTAGTAATCATGGTGCCCAGGGTAGCCAAAAATTATCTGGAAGATTGCTGTCGCAAAACAAAGGTGAAACATTAAAATATTGTCCTGTTTTAGTTAACTGTCCATTAACATGTCATAGGAGGTATTTGACTTCCTGGGTTCGTACTTGATTGACTATTACTTTATTATGGGCTGCTCGTAGTATGT